TTGTGTAGATGTTTCATTACCCAACTAGGTAACATCATCAGTACTAGAAGCAAGTGGAGCTTGCATAGAGGAGGGGGAGGGAGGAGGAGGAGGAGGAGGAGGAGAGGAGGAGGAGGAGGAAGGAGGAAGAGGAAGAGGAGGACGGTGGGGCCCTTGGGGCTCTCTGAGCTTGGTTATTTTTGTGCAGATGTTTCAGTACCCAACTAGGTAACATCATCAGTGCTAGAAATGAGTGGGGTTTGTGGAGAGGGAGAGGAAGGGGAGTGGGGAGGAGGAGGAGGAGGAGGAGGAGGAGGAGGAGGAGGAGGAGGAGGAAGAGGATAACGACTATGGAGTCCTTGATGCTCTCTGAACTTGGTTGCTTTTGTGCAGACATTTCATTACCCAACTAAGTAACATCATCAGTTGGCCCTCGGCTTACAATCCTTTGTTTAGGCTCTGTGCCACAACCTTCACCCCAACCCCCGTTTGGTAGTGTGCTTTGTAATAGATTGTCTATCCGTTCAGTCAATCTGTGCTCCAGTCTTGACTGGAAGACGGATTGAGCAGGACCTGGGCACAATTCCAGAGATTGCAATTTGGGATTCAGACAGCAGGACCAGTCCAGGAAAGGTAGTTTGACTTCTGTCTTTCTCACACCCAAGATTGCTTGAGCAATGGCTAGAGGCAACTGAGGGAAACCAGAAAGACAGGCTGAGCACACAAAGGCAGTCAGAAAACCAAGGCAGAGAGGATAGGGATAAATAAGGAGCAAATCAAGAAAACAGTAACCCTTAGCTTCAATATAAACTGTCATGTTTTTTTTCTCTCAAAGCCAAAGGGCGTACTACCTCATACTTCATCTACACCAAAATAACAAGCACAAAAACAAGCACAAAGAGCCAGAAAAAAGGACAGCAAAATAGGCAAAATCACCCAGAACAGAGAAACTAGAAACAAGGCTAACAGCAAAGCACATCCACCAACCAAAAAGAGGGACTATCAATCAACAAACTCACGGAACAGGTGACTGATACTATTGCGGTATGCAATACACATTCCATGTATGATTCCCAAAGAACATCCAAACTATACATGCATCAGATGATGATGATGATGATAGTAATCATAATAATAGTAAGCATAATAGTAATAATAATAATAATAATAATAATAAAAGCAATGGATAGGAAGACCAGAAAAATAATGACAATGAATCATGCCCTTCATCCACGGAGTGACATTGACAGACTTTATCTACCAAGGCAAATAGGTGGGCGTGGAATGCTGCAAATACATCAGATGGTTGAAGAAGAAAAAATTGCTTTGGAAGAATATCTGAAGAACAATGATGAAGATGCACTGAAATTAGTATATCAGGAAGGCTTACTGACTACTGGAGAGACCAAACTGGCCTATAAAAGACCAAATGAAGAACAAAATAGGGGCATGGGAAGACAAAGCACGACATGGCCAGTACATTAAAAAAAACAGCTGGGAAAGCAGATAATAACAAGACCTGGCAATGTCTAAGAGCAGGAAAATTGAAGAAAGAGACCGAGGGACTAATTCTGGCTGCACAAGACCAAGCCTTAAGGACAAATGCATACAAAGTCAAAATTGAGAAGACAGCAACAGACAGTAAGTGCCGCCTATGCAAAGAAGCTGAAGAAACAGTGGACCACTTGGTAAGCAGCTGCAAGAAGATCACACAGACTGACTACAAGCAGCGGCATGACAAAGTAGCAACAATGGTGCATTGGAAGATCTGCAAGAAATATCATTTGCCTGTAAGCAAGAACTAGTGGGATCATAAAATAGAGAAAGTCATAGAAAATGATAAAATTAAACTGCTTTGGGAGTTCAGAATTCAAACAGACAAGCACCTGCAACATAACACCCTGGATTTAACAATTGTCGATAAGAAAGACAAAAATGTCTGGATTATGGACATGGACAGCAGAATAGACGAGAAAGAACTGGAGAAGATAACAAAATACAAATACCTACAAATAGAAATAGAAAGACTGTGGCAAAAGCAAGCAAGGGTAGTACCAATAGTAATAAGTGCCTTGGGTGCAATCCCAAAACAACTGGAGCACCACTTGAACACCATTGACATTGACAAATTCGCCATTAGTCAATTGCAAAAGGCAGCCTTACTAGGAACTGCTTCCATCCTGCGACAATATCTGTAATACCATCAAACATCCACATCTGCCTATCTCAGGTCCTTGGGAAGGATTCGATAGATAGACAAAAATGCCAAATCCAATCTGAACATCTGGCTGACTGTGCAATGATTAATAACAACAACAACAACAACAGTAATAATAACAGTAATAATAATAATAACAGTAATAATAATAATAACAATAATAATAATAACAATAAAAATAATAATAACAATAATAAAATCAAACTGCTCTGGGACTTCAGAATTCAAACAGACAAGTACCTGCAACATAACACCCCAGACTTAACAATTGTCGATAACAAAGACAAAAAAGTCTGGATAGTGGACGTGGCAGTGCCTGGAGACAGCAGAACAGATGAGAAAGAACTGGAGAAGATAACAAAATACAAAGACCTACAAACAGAAATAGAAAGACTGTGGCAAAAGCAAGCAAGGGTAGTACCAATAGTAATAGGCTCCTTGGGTGCAATCCCAAAACAACTGGGGCACCACTTGAACACCATCATCGGCATTGACAAATCCACCATTAGTCAATTGCAAAAGGCGGCCTTACTAGGAACTGCTTCCATCCTGTGACGATACCTGTAATACCATCAAACATCCACATCTGCCTATCCCAGGTCCTGGGTAAGGACTCGATAGGTTGACAAAATGCCAAATCCAGTCTGAACATCTGGCTGACTGTGCGATGATCCATAACAGTAATAGCAACAACAACAACAACAATAATAATAATAATATTGGAAGGGACCTTGGAGGTCATCTAGTCCAACCCCCTGCTCAGGCAGGAAACCCTACACCATTTCAGACAAATGGCTATCTAATCTCGTCTTTAAAAACTTCCAGTGTTGGAGCATTCACTGCTTCTGGAGGCAGGTTGTTCCACTGGTTAATTGTTCTAATTGTCAGGAAATTTATCCTTAGTTCTCGGTTGCTTCTCTCCTTGATGAGTTTCCATCCGTTGCTTCTTGCCCTGCCTTCTGGTGTGTTGAAGGAAAAGTCTTCATCATGGTTCAGTCCAAGCTGGGAATAAACAACATGGCAACTGCTTTCGAAAGCACCCCAGACTGCAGCCCCCCCCCAAAAAAGAAAGGAGAGTTTTGGTAATAGGATACTCTATCCTCAAAGGAGCGGAATCATCCATCTGCAGGCCAGATATACAATCCAGGGAGGTATGTTCTCACCCTGGAGCAAAATTCTAAGACGTGGCTGAGAACCTAACCAAAATAATTAGGCCCACAGATTACTACCCCTTCCTCCTCCTCCACTTTGGGACAAATGACACAACAAACAAGCTGAGTACAATAGTTGTTGTTGTTGTTAGTTGCAAAGTCGTGTCCGACCCATCGCGACCCCATGGACAATGTTCCTCCAGGCCTTCCTGTCCTCTGCCATCTTCTGGAGTCCATTGAAGCTCACGTCTCTTGCTTCAGGGACTCCATCCAGCCACCTCCTTCTCTGTTATCCCCTTCTTCTCTTGCCCTCCATCTTTCCCAGCATCAGGCTCTTCTCCAGTGAGTCCTTCCTTCTCATTAGGTGGCCAAAGGACTTGAGTACAATAGTGAGAGATTACGAACAACTAGGCAACAAAGTTAAAAAAGCTAGGAGCACAAGTAGTGTTCTCATCTGTTTACGAGAAACAACCAAGCTCAGAAAGCACCAAGGACCCCACAGTTGTTGTTGTCCTCATCCTCCTCATCCTCTTCTTTTTCCTCCTCCTTCTCTTTTCCTCCATTCCTCAAATCCTACTCCTTTCTAGCACTGATGATGTTACCTAGTTGGGTGATGAAACATCTGTAAGAAAACAACCATGTTCAAAAAGCACCAAGGACTCCTCCTTCCCTTCTCCTCCCCTCCCCTCCACAAACCCCACTCTCTTCTAGCACAGATGGTGTTACCTAGTTGCACATTGAAATGTCTTCAAGAAAACAACCCAGTTCAGAGAGCACCAAGGACCCCACAGTCCTCCTCCGCCTCCCTTTCTCTCTCTCTCTCTCTCTTGGACTCCACAAACCCCACTCCCTACTAGCACTGATGATGTTGCCTAGTTTGGTAATGAAATGTCTGCAAGAAAACAATCCAGCTCGGAGAGCACCAAGGACTCCTCCTTCCCTTCTGCTCCTCCTTCCCTTCTCCTGCTCCTTCTCTTCCCCTCCACTCCACAAACCCCATTCTCTTCTAGCACTGATGATAATCCTGACAGTCAGAACAATTAACCAGTGGAACAACCTGCCTCCAGAAGCGGTGAATGCTCCAACACTGGAAGTTTTTAAGAAGAGACTGGAGAGCCATTTGTCTGAAATGGTGTAAGGTTTCCTGCCTGAGCAGGGGGTTGGACTTGATGACCTCCAAGGTCCCTTCCAACTTTATTATTATTATTATTATTATTATTATTATTATTATTATTATTATTATTAATATTAATATTATTATGGATCATCGCACAGTCAGCCAGATGTTCAGACTGGATTTGGCATTTTGTCTACCTATCGAGTCCTTACCCAGGACCTGGGATAGGCAGATGTGGATGTTTGACGGTATTACAGATATCGTCGCAGGATGGAAGCAGTTCCTAATAAGGCCGCCTTTTGCAATTGACTAATAGCGAATTTGTCAATGCCGATGGTGTTCAAGTGGTGCTCCAGTTGTTTAGGGATTATTATTATTATTATTATTATTATTATTATTATTATTATTTTGCCTACTTTCACTTTCAAATGTCTTCAAGAAAACAACCCAGCTCAGAGAACACCAAGGACCCCACAGTTCAGCCCTGAGCTACAAATATTCTTTTCCATTTATGTTTGCAGTAACTTTCAGACCGTTTCTGTTCCCATTTTCTTTATTTGAGACAAACAGGTGTCCAGGAATAGGAAGAGAAGACAACCCATCGTTGAACCCATGTTCTAGGAAAGTGAAGTAGGCTCTCTGCCAAATCATGGAGAAATTCAGTCTCAGCTGAGGAAGAGGAAGAAAGAAGCCAGAATTCCCCCCAACAGGGTGTAGCTGATCTCTAGCCAGGAGGCCCCATCATGGTTGCAGAGGTTGGTGTGGCAACAGGTCACCAGACGCGTGGAACCAATTTCATCTATCTCGGAAAGGTTGCACGACCGAGAACAAGACCGTGTGACGGTGAGTTCACCCACAAAAGGGTAGACTGCCAAACAACAACAAACAAACAGAAATTTCAGAGAATTTGGGCATTTCTTTATGGCACATGCCCACAGAGACCCATGTATCATGCTAAAATTGATCCCATGTCCTCCAATGTCTTCTAATAAATTATCTGAAAAAAACTCAGAGAACAGCAACTAAGATGCTCCAAGGCCTGGAGACCAAAACATACGAACAACGGCTGCAGGACTTGGGTTTGGCTAGTCTAAAGAAAAGAAGAAATAGGGGAGACATGATAGCAGCATTCCAGTATTTGAGGGGCTACCACAAGGCAGAGGGCGGTCAGGTTGGTCACCAAAGCACCAGAGGGCAGGACAAGAAACAATGGTTGGAAACTGATCAAGAAATTAAAGAGAAAGTTCCTGACAGTGAAGACAATCAATCATGGATGCTCCATCACTGGAGATTTTTAAGAAGAGACTAGACCAACGGTTCTCAACCTGTGGGTCGGGACCCCATTTGGGGTCGAACGACCATTTCACGGGGGTCACCAAACAACGCAGTCCGCCATTTTTTTCCCCTTTTCCTTAGCTGTGCTACTCCCTTTTATTCTATTGGCTTTTGAAAGCCAATAGAATAGACTCTCTTGAATAGAGTCTAATTCCATTGGCTTTCAAAAGCCAATAGGAATTGTCCAGGCTGTCTCTGCCCTGCTGAGCCTGCCAAAAGTCCCATTCTGCAAACGGTGCTGCACCCGTTGAGTAGTCCTCGACTTACGACCGGTTGAGTGGTCCTAGACATACGACCGGTTGGGGGTCATGGCATTAAAAAAGTTGAGAACCACTGGACTAGACAGTCACTTGTCTGAGATGGTATCGGTTCTCCTGCTTGAGCAGGAGGCTGGACTAGAAGACCTCCAAGGTCCCTTCCAGCTCTATTTTATTCTAAATAATTTCTGGACCACCTTGGAAGGATGAGAACTGTAGGACATCTTCTCTGATGGATACTCAGATTAGGGGAAACCTAACGAACAGAGGCTTAAAATTATAGAGATCCATTCAGGTATTGCTTAGGGGGGTTGACTCCAATTCACCACCGCCAACTTACAGGAGCCAACTTGCCATGGTCAACTCGCTGCAAGAAAAAAACTAGCTGTGGGACAACCATTTCACTAATATCAAAGACATAGTGGAATAGAATCATTAAAGAAAGGATGCAAAAGGAGGGTAAGAATGAAGTGTGAATGACAAAAATTAACATATTTTTTAATTTACTTTAAATAATTAAATAGAACTGTCCAATTGTCCTGCAGCATCCAGTTTTGGTCACCACGGTGTAAAAAAAGATGTGGAGACTCTAAAAAAGAGCACAGAGAAGAGCAACAAAGATGATCAGGAGACTGGAGGCTAAAACATATAAAGGTTTCTGGAGGCCAGTTGTTCCACTGGTTAATTGTCTTCGCTGTTAGGAATGTTCTCCTTAATTCCAAGTTTCTTCTCTCTTTGATCAGTTTCCAACTACTGTTTCTCATCCTGCCTCTGATGCTTTGGTGAATAATGTGACCCCCTCTTCTTTGTGGCAGCCCCCCAAATACTGGAACACTGCTATCATGTCACCCCTATTTCTTCTTTTCTTTAGACTAGCCAAACCCAAGTCCTGCAGCCGTTCTTCGTAAGTTTTAGTCTCCAGACCTTGGATCACCTTAGTTACCCTTCTCTGAATTTTTTCCAAACTCTCAACATCTTTTTTGTGATATGGGGATCAAAATTGGTTGCAGTATTCCAAGTGTGGCCTCACCTGGGTTTTATAAAGTGGTACTAATACTTCGTGTGATCTTGATACTATGCCTCTATACAACCCAGGATTGTGTTAGCTTGTTTGGCTGCTGCTGAGGAAGTGAAGGTGGATCTGTGGGTCTTCTTCTGGGGAGGATTGGGCACACCTGGGCCCTCAAGGCTCATTCTGAGCTGACTTCCTCAAGACTTTGCAGGTGGACGGACAGATTTCCTGTTTGGAGTTCCCCCTGCCCCCCAACTGATACTTCCAGATGTGGCTTCCCACCCAGGTGGCCCAGCTTCTTCTAACACGCTCACTAGGTTTCCTCTTTCTGTTCCCACTGTTGGAAAACGTCTATTTCTCCCAAATGCGCTTTTTTTCAGGAGGCAACTGGACTTTCTTGTTTTTAGCTTCTTGTTAGCTTCTTCAGTTCCGACTGGATGGATGAGAAGCGAAAGGTCTTCAAAGAAAAAACAAAGGAAGTCTAGTTGCCTCCTGAAAAAGCACCTTTGGGACAATTTGGGACAATTCTCTATAGAGAATCTCCATAGACATTTATCCTGACGATAAGGAGAAAAACCATCCACTCAATTTTCCGGCTCACCAACCTGAAAAAAAAAATTTTAATTTTTTTTTTAATTTTATTAAGTACAAAGAAAAGAAAAGATTAAAAACATTGAACATGGTAAATTGTCTTTGACTGACATCTCAGTCCATATTGTACCTTAATTACATATAAAATACCTATATACAACTATACATTTCTAGTCTCCGTCTCAGTGTATCTCTTTACTGTGACCTCCATTTTTCTTTCCCTCCATCTATAAAATTTATTCCATATTCGATAAAGTTCTGTTTCTTCCTGATTTTTTTATCTTTTAGTTATCCTATCTAGTTCTGCGCAATACATAATTTTCTTTATTAGTGCTTCCCCACTCGGCACTTCCATTGCTTTCCACTTTTGAGCAAATAGTATCCTTGCTGCTGTGACCACATGGATAATTAAATATATGTCCTCTTTATTTACATTTTTCTCTAGTATTCCTAATAGTAGTGTCTCCGGTTTGTATTGAATGTTTTGCCTAGTCATTTCTATTGCCCAATCCCAGACCATACGCCAGTACATCTGTGCTTCTCTACATGTCCATCATACACGAAAAAAGGTGCCCTTTTCTTTTTTACATTTCCAACACATAGACGAATATCCGTTATACATTTTGGCTAATCTGGCTGGAGGGAGATGCCATCTGTAAACCATCTTATACAGGTTTTCTTTATATGATGTCGCCACTGTGATTTTGTTATTTCGCTCCATACTTGCTGCCATTGATCCATATTTATATTATATCCTAGATCAGGGTTAGGCAACCTTGGCTCTTTTATGACTGGTGGACTTCAACTCCCAGAATTCCTGAGCCTGCATGGCTAAGCATGGAAACATCTCCCTTTCCCCTCAGCATGGCTGGCTCAGGAATTCTGGGAGTTGAAGTCCACGAGTCATAAAAGAGCCACGGTCGCCTACCCCTGTCCTAGATCTATTGCCCATGTCACCATTGTTTCTTTAACCTGCTCCTCATATAGCTTATATTCCAACAGACCAACCTGGAAATGTTTGAAAAGACAGGTGGGCCTACTTCTGCACTGTATGCTGCGTTAAATTTGTGTCCTGTACCATATTTTTTTAAAAAATATATGATATTTCTCGCATGAGAAAAGCACATCTTCCTTCCCCTGTCCTGGCCACTTTCTACAGGAGGACATTTGAGAACATCCTGTCCTACAGCATCACAGTCTGGTTTGGAAGCATCCCTGCTTCAGAAAGGAAGGCGGTGCAGAGAGTGGTGAGGACGGCAGAAAAGATCATTGGCAGTTCCTTCCCTCCCATTCAGGACATAGCACAGAAGCGTTGATTGGGCTGGGTCCATAAGATTCTCTGCAAAGGATCGACACATTTTGTCGTGTCCAGGCTCGAAGGGTATGTGAGGATGATCCAGAGGCACACATTTTTAATCACTTTTTTTTCTTAGAATGAGGAGCGAGGAGGAAGAGGAGGAAAAGGCTACTCCATTTGATCTTGACCTGCAGAAATTGAGACTTGGGTTAATTTTGCCCTACCACCTCACCTTCTTCAAGAGAGTGCATGATCGTCATACACATGGTTTGGTTCGGCATACACTTAGCCACACTTAGGCATTTCTCCGGTCTGGTGGGCTCCCGGCAGAAGAAACATTGAAGCGTTTGGGCTGTTGTGAAAAAAAAAGAATTACATATAAGTACCTAGCACAGGGGTAGGCAACCTTGGCTCTTTTATGACTCATGGACTTCAGCTTCCAGAGTTCCTGAGCCAGCATGGGGGAAACTATGGCCCCTTCATGACTCGTGGACTTCAACTCCCAGAATTCCTGAGCCAGCCTGGCTCAGCTTGGAAACCTCTCCCTTTCCCCTCAGCGTGGCTGGCTCAGGAATTCTGGGAGTTGAAGTCCACGAGTCATAAAAGAGCCAAGGTTGCCTACCCCTGATCTAGAAGTATTAAAAGAGGAGAGAGAGAGAGAGAGAGAGAGAGAGAGAGAGAGAGAGAGAGAGAGAGAGAGATGCAACTGGATTAATGTTCATTTAATCTTCCTTAGATAGGACACAGAACAAAAGGGTTGGAAGGGACCTTGAAGGTCATCAAGTCCAACCCCCTGCTCAGGCAGGAAACCCTATACCATTTCAGACAAATGGCTGTCCAGCCTCTTCTTCAAAACTTCCAGTGTTGGAGCACTCACACCTTCTGGAGGCAGGTCATTCCACTGGTTAATTGTTCTAACTGTCAGGAAGTTTCTCCTTAGTTCTAGGTTGCTTCTCTCCTTGGTTAGTTTCCATGCATGACTTTTTGTCTTACACTCTGTAAAGCAGTGGTTCTCAACCTGTGGGTCGGGACCCCATTTGGGGTTGAACGACCATTTCATGGAGGTCGCCAAACAACGCAGTCCGCCATTTTTTCCCCCTTTTCCTTAGCTGTGCTACTCCCTTTTATTCTATTGGCTTTTGAAAGCCAATAGAAGAGACTCTCTTGAATAGAGTCTAATTCTATTGGCTTTCAAAAGCCAATAGGAATTGTCCAGGCTGTCTCTGCCCTGCTGAGCTCGCCAAAAGTCCCATTCTGCAAACGGTGCTGCACCAGTTGAATAGTCCTCAACTTACGACCGGTTGAGTAGTCCTCAACGTACGACCGGTTGGGGTTCGCGGCATTAAAAAGGTTAAGAACCACTGCTGTAAAGAAAGGGGGAAAAGGGAAAGGGAAGGGGAAAGGGGAAAGGGGGAAAGGGGGAAGCGGAAAGGAGAAGAGGAAAAGGGGAGAGGGGAAGGGGAAGGGGAAAGAGAAAAAAGAAGGGGAGAGGGAGAGGGGGAGGGGGAAGGAGAAGAGGAAAAGGGGAAGGGGGGGAAAGGAAGGGGAAAGGGGAAAGGAGGGGGAAGGGGAAGGGGGGGAAAGGAAGGGGAAAGGGGGAAGGAGAAGGGGGAAGGGGGAAGGGGTTGGTGCATTAAGGGGATTCCCTATGGAAATTCTCAGTCATCCAAGTCCTGGCTGTCTCAAATGTGCTTTTGCAAAAGGCAACTGGAACTGGGTTTTTGTTTGTTTGTTTGTTTTTGAGGAGGAAGAAGAAGTCATTTCACTTCGCATCCAAGGAGCTTCTTCAGTTCTGACTGAAGATGGTTGGGATGATGGAGAAGGATTAGTTCTGACCAACTAATGTCAGAACTAACCCTTCCATTCTCCATTCTCCCCCTTCCCCCTCTCCCTCCCCTCCCTACCATCCAGTCAGAACTGAAGAAGCCTCAGTTAGGTGGGAAGTGAAAGGTCTTCAAGGAATAACCAAGAAAGCCCACCTCCGTTTGGGAAATGCCCCGTTGAGATATTAAAGGGGGGGGGTGTTAATTTCTAATAGACCTGTTGTCATTCAGCGAGGGGGTGGATCTGACCTCTGAGAACAGAGCTTGAAGCTACTCGTCTACACAATGGTTTCTTTCATCTTTTATCAGTGTGTGTATCAATCACTGCACCCTTCTCACAAGGCTAAGATAGGACGCAAAAAACTTGTGGTCTGTAATTATTGTCAACAGCGAATCACATAAATGTGTCAATGCCAAATCTGGCTCCAGGTGGAATTTGCAAACAGAGAGCCAGATCTGAAATGACCACAAGCCGGTAAAAATTTCAAGGCCAACACCACAACTTCCAAGATGTGAAGTTTACGTTTTGAAGAACTGGAGCATTCTTGATGGTTTTGACTGTCTTGGGGTTTGGTGAAACCCTGGGAAGGTCAAGGATGTAGCCAGATTGTCCATGCAATTTTCTTGTGGTTATGTATGGTCAGGATTCAGTGTAAGATCCTCCCAACACCCTTATCTAAATCAGGGACAAGCCAAATACACCAACATATTATTAAGGAAGGGTGTCACCGCTGCTAACATCGGATGTTTTGCATAGACAACAGATGGAAATGTAGCCATCTTTTTCCCCTTTCACTTTTAGAGTTAGATGATGCTGGGGGGGGGGTGTAATGTGAATGAGAGTCTAGCTCAGTGGTTCTCAACCTTTCTAATGCCGCGACCCCATAATACAGTTCCCCATGTTGTGGTGACCCCCAACCACTTATACATCACTGGGTGCCAGGGGCGTGGCCAAAGAAAAGGGGGGAAAATGGCGGACAGCCTTGTTTGGCGACCCCTGTGAAATGGTCGTTCGACCCCAAATGGGGTCCCGACCCACAGGTTGAGAACCACTGGTCTAGCTAGACATAACAACACTAAACTTAGCATGAGAATCAAGGTTACTGTAGCCAGAGCTGATAAAGAATTGGCTGGAGAGCTGGAGAGGAAGCCCGAGCTTCAAGCTAATTGGGGAATGTGATTTATGACTGTTAATTGGGGGAGGGAATTATGCTTTGATACTAGGTGCCCGGGGGGAGGGAATTCAGTTTTTGGGTTTGATTATGCAGTGCCGATATTATGCTACTCGAATAAAAGATTCTTTAAGGTAAACAATGCCTCGAAGTTCTTTTGAAGAGTGTCATCTGTCAGAACCATGACATTGGGCTTGGAAGTTAAAATTTGCTGTCCCAAAGGTGCTTTTTTTTCCCCAAAAAGGCAACTGGACTTTCTCTGTTTTTATTTGAAGGCATTTCCACTTCTCATCTAAGAAGTTTCATTCAGAACTGAAGAAGCTTCTTGGATGAGAAGTGAAACATCTTCAAGGAAAAAAAGAGAAGGTCCAGTTGCCTTTGGGATAACCATGACCTGGATGACTTCCATAGATATTAACCTTTGCTGTTGATTTAACAGCTAACTACTCTCTTTTTATATATAGTAGGTAGAGGAATCAGCATCAGAATAGAGCTGGAAGGGACCTTAGAGGTCTTCTAGTCTAACCCCCTGGTCAAGCAGGAGACCCTACACCATCTCAGACAAGTGGCTGTCCAGTCTCTTCTTTAAAACCTCCAGTGATGAAGCACGCACAACGTCTGAAGACAACTTCTATTCCACTGGTTAATTGTCCTCGCTGTTAGGAAGTTTCTCCCTAATTCCAGGTTGCTTCTTCCTTTGATCAGTTTCCAACCGTTGTTTCTTCTCCTGCCTTCTGATGCTTTGGTGAATAATGTGACCCCCTCTTCTTTGTGGCAGCCTCTCAAATACTGGAATATTTGGGTATGGAATTGGGTATGTCTAGTTTAATAAAGAGAAGGACAAGGGGTGACATGATAGCAGTCTTCCAATATCTCAGGGGCTGCCCCAAAGAAGAGGCAGTCAAGCTCTTCTCCAAAGCACCTGAAGGCAGGACAAGAAGCAACGGATGGAGACTAACCAAAGAGAGATCCAATCTAGAACTAAGGAGAAATTTCCTGACAGTAAGAACAATCAACCAGTGGAACTACGTGCCTCCAGAAGTTGTGGGTACTTCATCACTGGAGGTCTCCAAGAAGAGATTGGACAGCTATTTGTCTGAAATGATCTAGGGTTTTCTTCCTGAGCAGAGGGTTGGACTAGAAGACCTCCAAAATCCCTTCCAACTCTCTATTCTATCCTATCCTATCCTATCCTATCCTATCCTATCCTATACTATTCCATTCCATTCTATTCTATTCTATTCTATTCTATTCTATTCTATTCTACATTCCATTCCATTCCATTCCATTATATTCTATTCCATTCCATTCCATCCCATCCCATCCCATTCTATTCTATTCTATTCTATTCTATTCTATTCTATTCTATTCTATTCTATTCTATTCTACATTCCATTCTATTCTATTCTATTCTATTCTATTCTATTCTATTCTATTCTATTCTATTCTGCATTCTATTCTGCATTCTATTCTATTCTATTTCAACAAGGCCATCTCAAAGTAGCCATGGGACAGCTTGCCATGGAAAATTCCACACAGGATAACTCAATGTTATCCACCACTGATTCTTGGACATAATTTCCATGTGGGCAGGGAGGGAATGATATTTACCACACTGAGTTACCCCACATGGAATTTTCTTTGACCAGTTGTCCCAGGGCGAGTTGGTCATAGTGAGATGGCTGTGGTGAATTGTTCTAAACCCATAGTGTCTAGTAGCACTTTTCATCTCCTCTCAACCTTGGCAACAATTTTAAGGTATGTGGACTTGAGCTTCCAAAATTCTCCATGAAATTCTTGGTGCTCTCTGAGCTTCATAGTTTTCTTGCAGGCATTTCATTACACAACTAGGTACAGTAGTGGCCAAAATTGTGAAAACCATTTGGGAAAAGTGTATTTTTGAGATCGGATGGCTAATAACACCACTTTTTTGGGGGGGAGTAGTGCCGTAAAATTATATATCAATGGAAAGATAATGTAATCAAGAATGTAATGCAACATAGTTTATTCAATTATCTGTATTGTATTCTATGAAAAGTTATAGCCAAATAACCAGGAAAAAGGAAGCACAACTTGCTTAGGTTGATCTCAGGTAGCTTTCCTTCATCTGATTGTAGCCAATGAGCCTGAGTGTTTAGAGAGCCAATCGGGTGTTATCTTGTTTTAATAATAATAATAGTAGTAGTAGTAGTAAAGTTGGAAGGGACCTTGGAGGTCATCTAGTCCAACCCCCTGCTCGGGCAGGAAACCCTACACCATTTCGGACAAATGGCTGTCCAGTCTCTTCTTAAAAACTTCCAGTGTTGGAGCATTTACTGCTTCTGGAGGCAGGCTGTTCCACTGATTAATTGTTCTCA